CATAGTTTTCATCAGATGGCACTGTAATTAAGCTAATCCCAGTTCAATGTATGATAGTGTTGAAGAATACATCCATTGCAAATATATGTTTAATTAATTACTGACAACTCTCATACTTAATGAAATCAGTGTATACTGTAAATCAACATGAAGAACAAGTTAATTCAGCTATAATGTGATAAAAATCTGAAAAATTGAAAGAAATTGATAAAATAATTTTATAATCAGTGTTTTAGCCAAATGACCTTCACTGATCATTTTGCTGATAAAGGTATTTTGGCTGAAATGTTGGACACTTAATGTCCCCCCCTAGTGATTTTTTGTCATTTTCTTTATATTGTTTCATCATAAAATGTGGTAATTACCTGTGGTTTGAAATTCATACTGTCATAGGTATATGTATCCACAAAATAAGTTTTCTGGAAACACAGAAATGTGCCACCATCCAGAAATAATACTTATAATTTTCACTATTATTTAAGTAAATGAGTTCTGTGATGTATTGATGTAATTAACATCACATTTCTTAAGTAGAATAAAAAAATCAGGGTACGAATATGTTTGTGCTATATAAATATATATATTACAGAGTTTTTCCATGTATCTGATAGTTAACATTGGAAAAGCTTAAAATGTCCAAATGGGTAATCATAAGCTTCTCTTCTTTGTATGATATCTGGTAAAGTTATTAAGTATAGGTTAAAAATAAAGAGTAGGAGCTGGTGGTATATGAGAATCTATAGGATAAAAAAAAAAATTATATATGTGTGTGCGTGCATATAATGGTCTTCACGTGAATGCTTAGGTAGCTGATCCTTTCAGGTATGGATCACAATTTATATGCCTTCACTCCAATTCTTTAGTATTTGTCTCTCTATCTTTATTATAACTTACCCCCCCAGTAAAGAAATATAACTATCATCTGATTTTTACTTGAGGACAACTAAACTGTTGGTAGCAAATTATTATTGTTAAAGTTTGGAAAAAATTGTGTGATTTAAGTTTTCAATATAAATCATGGACAGTTTAAAGTATTATGTTTAAAGCCCTGAATTTATTTTATTTTCTTGTTTTTTAATCATTTATGACACACAGAACTCTAAGATCATTGATTTTTATATTTAAAGTTACACTAAACAATCCTTTTGTTATGTGACTTCATTTTACGGAATTCTGAGCTTTACTTCCATCGGTGTGCATGCAGTACCTTTATTTTATGCTAACTACCTTTTTACAATTACCCTGAAGGTATGGAAACATTTACTAAAGTTAAACCCTTGTCTGATTTATGCCTGTACACATTTCATAAAAGCTTTGTCTTCTTTTGGTGAAAAGTAACTGAGCATCATAATGATTTGTAATTGACATAATAGAAAATATTTCTGTAAAGCCGAGATGATGATAATGATGCTTTATGATTTTTTCGTTGAGGTTTTTCTTTTACTGTAATGTATAGTAAGGACCTAAGCCAGTACACCATTAGACATGGAAACAAATGTTCAATCTTAAATTATCATTATGACCTTCTCATAGTATTTGATATGGATTTTATACTCTTAGTAATACTTTCTAAATGACTATGTTGTTTCTGTTATGTATTAACAACTTCAGTCAACATTTTGGAATTCTCTTACAAAATATATAGAATAGATAGTCTGATTATTAAATAGTTATAATCATAATGTATAATTTTTAGAATCAATTTAAGCAGTTGTCTTTACTATCAAGCTTCAACTTTATTGACAATGAAGAATGTTTTAGTGTTTCCAAACAACAATTAAAATCTGTACTGTTAACTGCAAAAGGTCATGTATATATTCCTATTCAGTGATGATTGTTGGACTCGGTTAAAGTGAGAAATCCCATAACAACAGTGTGATGTATTGCTTAGTGCAGTAGACTCAAGATGTTTAAAATTTGTTCAAAACTGGTATATTATACTGATATTGCCATAGGTAACTATTTATATACATGTTTAGTATATTAATTGTAGTAAATAAATAACTATTACAACTCTAGTGAAATACAACAAATGCTTTCTTAAGTTATGTGAAGTGGGTTTATACCCTTTATGCTTGGTTCAAAAATGGAACTACTTTTACTTGCACATATGGTGCTTCTTGAACTATTCAGTCCTATTCTAGCACTTCTTGAGATGTAATATTTGCTGATATCCCAGAAGAGTTCGTCCATGTAATATGAAAAAGATGTTGTCATTGACTTGTCTATTTATGCATCAAAAACTGCTTCAATAAAACTATAAGAGTTCATGTAAAACTGTTTGTGATAATACACTTGCAGTGCCATATTCTTGTACTTACCAAGTAAGAAATACTTGCATGCCATAGATACTGGAAATCTCAATAGCTGGATAGTAATGTTGTAAAAAAGAAATAAAAAGTCAAAATAAAGTAACTTTATGAAACATTTAAGTGTTTAAATATCATTAGCATGATTCAACTGTATTACACGTACTTGGAATTAGCTTGGCTACGTTTATAAAGGCCATAATACAAAGCAAATATGTAACAAGTTTAAAGCAAAAGTTCTATCAGATTGATTAAAAATCACTGCATTTTTGGGATAATATTATGCTTTTAGTTAGGCCTAAAAACTAACATTATTACCAATTGTAGATGATAGTGACCATTTAATGGTGTCTTAGGGCCTAGTCCACTGTAACTTAAATTTTTTCTTAACTGTATTATAAAGTAATTTGCACATGAAATACAAAATTACAAGCAAATAACAGTTTTTGTAAATTTTTATGCTGATTCAGATAGGTTTAATGAGTTAAATTATTTATTCTGTGACTGAAAATCCTACACTTTATTATTTATTTTTAAAGCTGATATATTTCACTACTTGGAAATGGACTATTCTATAAATGTAGCTTCCTTTTAAGCAGTTATTTACAAGATATAAATAAAACTACGTGGATGGTCAACTATTGTTGCAGAGACAACATCCTCAATGGTACAATGATGTATTTACTTTGGAGTAGATATTGGAACACTGGATTACCGGTAACAAGGACATTTATAATCAATAGCAAGTGACTACTTGGTTCTTCAACTTTCGAGGCTGTCCTTGGAAAAGGAAAAATTAAAATCCACCCTTTACTCTTAAACTCCTGTATAGTGCTGGCTTCTACTACTGCTGACAGCAATTCATCCCATAAGTCAATCACACAGTTAGAATTTGCAGAAGGAAAACAATATAAATGAATGTTTAGCCAGGAATATGAGTTTTTCCTTAAAGTAAAACACCTTTCTGTTCAATGTCTCAAACTATAAGCAAACTAAAGGAATTACCATGGGAACAAAAATGGGGCATTCCTATGTTAACCTTTTTGTTGGCTGTTTCAAAGAACAAATTCATTGATGACATTTACTTCCATAAGAATTCTTCCATTTTAGTTTATATCTGCAATTTTTAAACTAGAAGCATTCTTTCCTTGACATTAACTTAGTACTTTGTGATTATAAAAAAAACACATCAATCCACTATAAAGCTACTTATAGTGTTTCATTTTAAAGATATAATTCCTTTCATCCAGTTAAAACAAGGAATGGAATACCTAAAGGTCAATTTCTAAGGCTTCTGGACAACTTTGCTCCAACATCACTTTTGAAACAGACTCTAATGCAATGTGTGAAAGAGGCTACTCTCAAAGTGTGTTGTCCAAAGCCAAATCTGATATATTAAACACTTCCTGTAAGGATATTCAACACATCAAACCTAAAACAGCAACTATGGGTCATATACCTTTAGTTATGACTTACCACCCTCTTAACTTCTGCATAAACCACAAAATTTTCAACATTCTCTATTGACCCTACCAAATTAAAAAAATTGTTTTCTAATATGTCTTTTACCTGTTTTAGATAAAATCTCATGATTTAGTTGTTCACTCAAAATTTTGATATAATGAAAACTCGTGATCTAAATGCAATAAATGTTGCAATTGACCTATCTGTGTAAGTTGCAATTTTATTGGATTGAGAACCTAACCATCAGGACCTATATTAACCTTTTACATACAAAAAATAATTCACATACATTTTGTTTTTT